CACTGAGAGATGATCTACGAGACCTCTCCCTCCCTTTGGGAAGAGAAAACAGAGAAAAGGGAGCCTGGTTCGCAAACCGAAGCAAGACACAAAAGAGCCCGGAAGTCCGGAGGCAAGGTTCGCAGCCGAGACTTTGAAACTTCTGAACGAGCACAATATGCAATATCACCGAGCGCTCAATCGGTGACGTCTGATTCTTAAGGTCGGAAAAAAATGGGGTGTCTACACAAGCAAAGAATTTCAGAATTGAATCTTAAAGCACACAAGATTATCCAAGAAGCACAATTACTTGAAAACACAATGTACACGGTCTGTAGAAGATTCCTCATGAAAGAAAGTGATGCCACATGTGAAAAGAATAGATCTCATGATAAAAGTGTGTGTGTGATTCTTGGAGTTCGACAAACACAAGATTTAAATCCTAGCAGTGATCTGAAACTGGACCTCCGACAAGAGAATCTAAGCATAACAAAGAAAAGTCAAACCACTAGGAATCAAGGGGTATTTGGTGAGTAAAAGCAGAGACTCCCCCTCAATTAATGAATCTATTCATTTTTTTTTATTCCTTTCTTTTGCACATTTTTTTTTCTTTCTTTTGCATATTTTTTCTTCTTCTTTTTATTTTTATTTTTCTTGTGCACACTCATTAGCCAGACATGCTCAAGAGTATGGAAACCGAACCAGAGAAGCATGGATATAATAAGGATAGCCTGGTTGGTGACTCTGAGATAGCTTTTTCCTCATGGTTAGACTACAAAGAATATAGGGGGAAAGCCGTGGAGATGCAAAAAGATGGAAGGTGGTTAAGAGACTCAACATCACCCAAGATATGCTAGTATCGGTCAATTCCTCTAGAAAAACAAAAGATACCATGTCAAAAGTCCATAGAGAAAAAAGATCACTAAGGCGAAAGACTCCAATATTTGCTAATCCAAGAGTGTGTACAGAATGAGACATACTAATCAAAGAATACACACTCCGAAATGAGTAATGACCACAGAAAGTACACACATATTAACATGTAATGGATATTTTCATCAATTCCAATATGCACCAAGGACCACTCAAAAACTTCAAGCTTGCAAAACCATACTAAGAAAATCTTTTTGGGATTTTTTTTTTCATTTTTTTTTTCTTTTTCTAAACAAAGCAAGACATAAAACGAACATGCACACATTTTTTTTCCTAAACAAAGCAAGTCAGAGAACGAACATGCACACACTAAATAACTTTAAAAAAAAATACAGAAATCCAAAAACTAAAACTAATAAACAAATTAACATAAGTCAAGTTTTCTCACCCAAACCGTTTTAGTATGAACAAAGTTGTGAGAATGACGGTTCTTGGGTGGTGTCTTGACATTGTGGTTCATTTCCCTTTCAATGGGAACCTGTCTCGACATGGTTTCCAACTTCCTATTTCTAGGCCTAGGCAAATACAAACTCGCTCCATGTTTGGTCTCAAGCAAATCAAAATAACGAGGTCTAATATGACCCTTAACCTCATTACCACCAATGAAGTGTCTCCTACCCCTTGAGATGTTGAAATTTCTTCCATCTCTATGAGACATTCTTCCATGCAACTCATAACAATAAAGGCGAATATGACCAGCCAAACCACAATGATGACAAATAAAAACAAGGTGTACAGGATGTACCTTCTTTTCTTTGACCTTACCAACTCTAGAAAGATTGAGAAGTCCATTCTCATGTTGAATTTTTTGTTTTCCCTTTCCTTGAGTTCTTGTATCATGAGATGTGGAAGCACTCTGTTTTTGCTCTTTTTTACCACCAAAGCCACTGCCACTCTTGTCAAAACAAATTTGTTGAGACCCAATAATATTGTCCAAAATCTTTGATCCTCTGTTCCAAAGACCAATGGTAGCCATAGCACACTTGAGTTCTTCCTCTTTCTTGATCATTAGTTCTTCCAAAGTAACTTGAGACATCTCAAGAGTTTCAATTTTTTCTTCATATGTTGCATAGATTTGTTGTAACTCATTCCTTTCTGTCTCACAAGTCAAGAGTTTTGCACAAAGAACTTGTCGATCATTAGAAATCTTAAGGGCATCATTCCTAGCCTCGGAAATCTCTTTCTTTAATTTGACGTTCTCACTTTCACGTGCTTTGAGTTTCGTAGTGAGTTTGTCATTCAATTTGGATAAATTAAGAGATTTCTTATACAACTTTTAATATGCTTACTGAAGTTCTTCATCTTCACTCCCCGAGGATTCATCATCAGTGGCATTCTTAATCGGGCTCTTCGGATACTCTATTCATCCATCAGTTTTAGAAGCTGCCATGAAGGCAAGGAATTGTTTGTCCCTCTTCGATTCTGATTCATCTTTATCAGATTCTGATTCATCATCCCAAGTAATAGTGAGGGCTTTCTTCTTCCTTAAACGAGTGGAGTATTCTTGAGCAAAGTGGCCAAATCCTTAGCATTCATAGCATTGAACTCTTTCAGAGTTCCCTTGTATCTTTCCTTTCTCCTTCTTGGCTATAGAATTAATTTTGAGTTTATCTTTGCCTTTGGATTTATGAGTATGAGTAGAGTCCAAAAGATTAGGATTCTTTTTCAAAAAAGATTTTTTAAATTGTTTTACAAAAGCATTCGTAATCTTGGAATCTATCTCACTATCCTCATCAGAATCTACTCTAACTCTAAGAGTACTACTAAAAGCAATAACATCTTTTTGTTTCTTATTAAAATTCCTATGTGCCTCATAAGTTTGGAGATTTCCAACCAAATGATCTAGCTTGAGGTTATCAACATCTTGAGCCTCCTCAATAGCCGTAACTTTTGGTTGGAACCGATCGGACAAGAACCTCAAAATTTTTCCTACAATCTTGGATTCTGGTATTTTTCTACCTAAATTGAAGCTGGAATTTACAATGTCACTCATATTTTTCTACCTAAATTGAAGCTGGAATTTACAATGTCACTCAACTTCGCATAAAATTCATCAAAGGTCTCACTATCTTTCATTGAAAAGTTTTCGAAACTAAACGTGAGCCTTTGAAGTTTTGAGCGTTTAACAGAAGGAGTGCCCTCATGAATAGTTTGTAAGATATCCCAAGCCTTTTTGGCGACTTCACAATTGCAAATGCAACTAAACTTTTCAGGTGTGACAGCGCAAAAAAGAGAATTGATAGCTTTACTATTCCAGTTACTATTTTGGTAATCAATTGTGTCCCACTTATCAATTGGTTTGGGGAAAGTTACTCCATCAACGGTAATCGTTGGTTCGGTTCACCCATACATGACAGATTGCAAAACTTTTTCATCAATAGATTTCAGAAATGATCTCATCCGAGCTTTCCAAAAAGAATAATTGGATCCGTCAAGTAGGGGTGGCCGAACCATAGACTTTTCCTCACGTATTGAATCCATTATCACAAATCAAACAAGATCTCGCTCAAAAGTTTTAAAAAACAAAAGAGCGACCCGCTCTGATACCAATTGAAAAATCTAGAAATTCGCTAGATATTGATTTGTGATGATGTATCAATTTTAAGCAATAAAATAATCTCAATCAAATAATCAAGACAAATCGACACAACGATTTTAATGTGGAAAAACCACAATTGGAGCACCTCCAATTATGATAAAAAAAAACCACGGGCAACAGCCATAAAACAATCCACTAAAAAGATATAAAAGAATTACACAGGTATACTCTCAATTACCTAGCGAATCCACGCCCGAATTGAACCAACCCCTATATGCCTCTTCCAGCCCCGTCTTCACCTCAGAATTGTCTTGACAATGAGCCACTCCAGAATCCACCAAAGCTTCAGGCTCAAATTCTTCAGAATCCATCGAAGAACAACTCTCTCTTTTGTATAGAATGAACAAATAATCCTTTGATGTATCCTCCTTAAACCATGAGTTGAATACTCAATGAAACATTAAAGAAAACTAGCAAAATAACCCCAGATATAAACCCTAGAACCCAAGAAGAAGATCTGGAGGTGTTACCCTAGATTTTGAGCAACATGCAAATTTATAGAATCTAAAATCGCGAGGTCTACTCGAGCATGGGAATGGACGTTCGAGCGGGGACACTATATGACGTGTTCCAAACCAGGATGTACGCTCGAGCGAGGATTTCGACACTCGAGCGTGAAAGCACGGATCACAATATTTTTACAGACACGCATACTTCTGGAACTCACCAATCTCCGCTCGAGCGAACAAGCAACTTTGAATGCACTTTTGCATTTTGTTTCGGGGGCGTTGCCCCTCTACCCCGCCTGGGCGCTGCCCCGGACCCGCCATGGGATGCTGCCCCCTAGACCCCCGCGAGCTGATCGGGCAGCTCGATCCCCGTTATAGTCAGTGAAGTAGCAATCTTGAAAGAATTAAACACTACAAACTTCTCTGCAAGGCACGATTCGGGTTGGATTCGGATCTAATAAACTCATAGCCTCACTGAAATAAAAGTGCGAAAACAAGTACAACTGAAAGGAGTTTTGTCAAACGGGATTGCCAAGAATAAAACCTAACAAAATTGTGTTCTATTCTTTCAAGAATAAGAAACAAAGGCATTGATAAAAATGGTGAGTTTTGATAGAATGGTATGAAGTTTTAGAGTGAGAAAAAAGAAGAAGGTAAAACAATTGAAACTTTGAAAATAAGATGAAGAATATGCATAAGTGATTAGGGTGTACCATGAAAAAAAATATAATTTAGGATTTAATATGTGTTGTCTTTATTAGTAAATTTATATTATGATATGATAAAAATTAAAATTTCAAAATTTTACTTAGGCATACTTAATAATTTTTTTGGGTACAAATAGAATCAGCCAGTCAGTTCTAACAAAAATATCAAGTTATAATGCAATTTACTTAAAGTTATGTTCATATCTTATACTCCCGAAGTCCTTGATTAGAATCTTAATATATCAATTGATGTGGTTGATTCGCATATAAAATTCATCTTCATCCAAAACAACCAAATATAAATAAATAAAACAAATAAAAAGTTGAATAAAAGAAAAGAAAATAGACAGATCAATGGGTTAATAAACATAATAAATTTGTACATAAATAATGAGTTCAATTGTTTTGGCAACTAAACATCATTTATTTCTAAACGAAATATTCCAGGATATTGGTTTCAATACTAACTCGGCAATTATGGATCGATAATACAGAAATGTCAATCTTTTTTGGTCCGAAAAATGCCTACTAATAGAAAATTTTTATGAGAGAAGCCGATTTTGATGGCTTTTGATTTCCTAACCAGTGCTGCATATGGACTCCAATGGCATCCAAGTACATGCTGCTCCTCCCATGGAAGCCGACCACCTTCCCCTCCGTCGTAATTGAAGTGAAAAATCTCCCAATCTCCTCCCCATAGGGCCCATATTTCCTTCTACTTGTAGTGAATGTTAGAGACTTTACAACTTTTGCTCCAGAATCTCCATTTGTAGGACCATAAAATCCACTTATGCAAGTAACCACTTCATGAGGATGATCCAACTTTATCTGAACAGAATCATTAAAAACACAATTGATCAATGTAAGCAAAACTATGAATGATTTTTAATATTGAGTCAAATTGATTACCACAATTGGAGTCCCCCCACTGTCACCTCCATGTTTTGTCGACCAAACAGATTGTCCATTTCGATCATACTCTATTTGTATCGAGCAAATGGCCTCCTTTCTAGTCAAATAAATTTGCTTGATCCCTGAAAATACTCCATCATCCCATGGCCTCCCTCCGTCCCCGCCCCATGGCCCTGTCTCACACGGAGCTGGTTCTTTCACCACCCGATTTGCTAACTGAGAAATTTAACAATCTTTAGTCAACACTAGTACAAATGGGTTGGACTAAAACTATTGCATGATGCTATCATATGCATGTGTGTCGAGGTGTAAATGTACATTTAGGTTGCAGTACCTCGTCAGTTGATGATCCTCGCCATGGTAGTGTTAGTTTATTAGACCAGTGAGGCTTATCAAGCTCGGTAGTGGGCCCTTCACCTTGAATAGAGGAATTGAATGGAGGGCGTATTGGAAGTATTGGTTTCCCTTCTACGACATCACCTTGAATGGAGGAATTGAATAGAGGGCGTATTGGCGGTGTGGGTTTCCCTTCTACTACTTCACCTTGAATGGAGGAGTTGAATGGACGGCGTATTGGCCGTGTTGTTTTCCCTTCAACAACTTCACCTTGAATGGAGGAATTGGGTGGAGGACGTATTGGCGGCATTACTTTCCCTTCTACCACATGAACACCAATTGCATCGAGAAACATGCCTTTCCTACCATGGAATCCAACAATTTTCCCTTCTCTCGCGTTGGTGGTGAATTCTTGACCTTGTTCTTCCCCAAAGGGTCCATGTTTAGTCTTTGTAGTATAGAAAGTGAGAGACTTGATGACAGTTGGCCCCATAAGCATGGCCGGTCCATAGAAGCCTGTTATACGTGTCAAGATTTCGTAGGGATAATCAAATATTATCTGCAAAAAACAATAGAAAAAACAAAAAGACGAAACGAAAATGGAAAGGATATAACTTCAATACCTCCAAGAATTGAATAACAGAAATTATTAAGGGGAAACAAGAGCTTGATTTACCTTACCAGACTTAAATCCACCAGTTCCACCATTTTTGGTTCCCCAAATAGCTTCCCCGTTTAGTTCATACAAAACTCTTATTGAAACAATTCCCACATTACGAGATAAATGAATTTGTCTAACTCCCATATAGACTCCATCATCGAACACAGTGCCACCACTGCCCCCCCAGGCTCCATATGACACATTGCCTTTCTCACGTTTTGAGGGGACTCTCTCAATAGAGCTAGGAAAACTGTGGACACTAGACATCTGAAATGTGATTCTGTTATCAATATACACATTTTGCAACAAACGTTTCAATGAAGAACACGAAATAAATAGCTTGTTATGGAGAATTCTTACCTTGTCCTTTGATTCTGTATCGCTGAAATCTTGAGAACTAGAGGTTTGTCTTGAGAGATCGTCTGGTGGATATTGACAATTGTATTCATTCTTCTGTCTAAAAGCAAGAACTATATCATAGTTACTTTCAAGATTACCTTGTACTACTGAGTAACCAAATTTCTCAGTCCCATTAGCAGCGTAACGAGGCTGAACCAAAGATTTTGGAAGGTTTGGTCTAAGGCCAAAAGGCTCTAGATAAGCTCCGATTGCATCGAGATACCAACCACCTCTGCCATAAAATCCGATGATCTTGCCCCCAATCATTGGGAATGAAAAGTATGTTCCATCTTCAATACCATATGGTCCATATGTTTTTTTGTTGCTTTCAAACGTTAGTGACCTGACAAATTCTGACCCCCATTCATTTATGCAACCATAGTATCCGTGGATTGAAGTTAGAAATTCATCTGGGTACTCAAGCTTGACCTACAACATGTAGATCATGAGATGGGAATGTTATGTCTTTAGCCAATTCTCTGAAGAAGGGCTTTCAAATCAACAATATGACAAACTTGACAACAATCCAATACTTGAAGATGGCTCCTTTTGTTTAGGTGAAACTGTTTTTTGAAAAATGTTTTTTTGCATTTTCTAACGGTCAATACAACAAAAAGCAAAAGGCCAACAAAAAATGAGTTGATTTTAGCTGAAAATGCTTTCCGGACTATTATTAGTCACGCCACTGCCACTGCCACCGCCACCATCATCACCACTACCCTACCACCAACACCGCCATCACAACCACAGCAACACAACCACTACCACAAACGACTAACACTTAATTTTCAAGGTCACAACTAAACACAGAAAACCTTTTCCGCCAAAAATATATTTTCTGAAAAAAAGTTTTCTGTGTTTTTCACCGAAACAAACGGAGTTGCTAGTGCTTATGTTTAGCTAAATCATTAGGAGAAAACGGAAACTGTTACAAATATGTGAAGTGAAGAAGGAGATGTTAGAACCAACTCAATCAAGTGGTGCATTAACTAACCTTATCAATTTTAAGGCCTCCACTGCCACCATGCTTCTCTGACCATACTGAGAACCCCCTGTCATCATACTCTATCCGAATGGAGTCAATACCAGCTCCATGAGCAATCACCAATTGCCTTACTCCCGAGTACACTCCATCGTCCCAACGAAACCCATCTTGGCCTCCCCAAGGGCCCACTGCCATGGTGCTCTTACCGTAGTCCACCATATTCTGTCACATAAACTGGTCATTAGACCTCAAGTGTATGCATGCACAGACAAAGAAACATATGTAGAATGAGCAAATGATTATAAATAGTAGTTACCGTACTGAAGAAAGAGAGGAATAAATGTAAGAGATATGGATGAATTATTGTGGTAACGAGTCGATAGGAAATATGCAGCAGGAAGAATTTATGGACAAGAAAGGTGTATGCGAATGGTAATGGAAACAGCATAATGAAGAAGCAAATTCTGGGTTCCACTATGGAGGGTTTGAATTGGAAGGAAGAGAATTGGATACTCAAAAAGATAAGGAAATCTCCCTACCCCTATTTCTTTTCGAGCAAGGATAGAAAGCTCTAATATGTGAGCTCTAAAAAGCCCCATACATGTGATAGCTCTAAAAAGCCCTATACATGTGATGAAGAAAAAAAAATACAAATATGGGTAATGCTACAGACCCCAGTGGGGGTCAACCCCAATGACGTGGCGCACTCGAGTTGGCTGAAATTTAAAAAAAAAAAAAAAAAAAAAAAAAAAACAACAATTTTTTTTGGACCAATAGGAGCCGACCCCAGCACCCCCAGCTGGGGGTCTAAGGCATTTTTGTACAAATATACACATCACACCATAAATAAATCTCATTCATTTAAAACTCTAAAATTCTCTTTTTTTTAAAAACTCTCAGTCATTTTTCTTCCTTTTCCTCTTCTATAGAAATTCCCTCCAGATACCCATTATGATGATGCATAAATTCTCACTTTCAAAAAAGAAAACAACATTGATTTAGACCACTAAAAAATGAAAAAGAGATCACTACTGTTCTTGAACACAGCAGTGACTGTGGTGCCTCCATTTGAGGTGTATTATGGTCTTATTTTTATGATCTAAACCTTTATTTTGTAGGGTTTGTTGAGTACTTCATGCCTACCAAAAATCATATTAATTGGATATCGACAACTATATGATTGATAACCAAAAAAATAAATAATAAATTTTTCTTTTGAGAAATAACATAAACAATATGCAATTCGATCATATAGTTATTGATATCCGATTAATATAATTTTTGATATGCATGAAGTACTCAACAAACCCTACAATATAAAACGGTTTAGATCATAAAAATAAGACCATGATACATCTCAAACGGAGGCACCACAGTCGCTGTTATGCTTTGAGCATAGCAGGGCCCCCAGTTCCCTAAAAAATACATCACTAATAGCACTAATGTATTGAAAATGGCAAAAAAAGAAAAAACAAGGCATAAAAAGTAAGCAAAGTTCACTGTCACATCATTAGTGCTCTTCTTAATACTCTTTTTTTAAGTGTTTCCAAGCATTTTTCAAAATACAGTCGCTGTTATGCTTTGAGCATAGCAGGGCCCCCAGTTCCCTAAAAAATACATCACTAATAGCACTAATGTATTGAAAATGGCAAAAAAAAAAAAAACAAGGCATAACAAGTAAGCAAAGTTCACTGTCACATCATTAGTGCTCTTCTTAGTACTCTTTTTTTAAGTGTTCCCAAGCATTTTTCAAAATAAAAATTAGTTCAGCTCTTGAATGTGATGTGACCATACATCTCCTGTCAGCTTTTGTGTTCTGAACTTTCATTTGTTAGATGGAATAATAAATCATCCCGAACCAATCAGCTCATATTCATGGAATTGAAGTTCTTACAATACCACCTAATGGGAATACAGAATGTACCCCCCAAAAAAGAAAAATGTTTGGAAGGGGAATACAGAATGTACCAATTCAAAAACAAAAAACAAAAAAAAAGTTTTGAACAAATTTACACCCTGAAAATTGCCAAAAATTTCAATATATGATATAGATTTAAATTTTGTGTAGTTTGAGTCACACCCATAATGATTCTAATTCAGACACTCTAAATTATGTGAGGAAAAAATTGAATATTTGTTCTGGATATGTAACATTGTTGCAAAGCCTAACTATAGGGTGTTTGGAAAGAGTTTTTTTTTTACTTTTTTGGCCTAAAATAACACTAAAATCAAAATAGGTTAAAATAAATAATAAGATAAAATGTTATATCAAACTCATAATTATTACATTTTTTTCTTATAAACATTATATTCAATTATAAAAAAGTCTAACCATCTTCCTAAACACAATTATTCTAACGACAATGCTACGTAGCTCAAATTTTGTGGCTCAAAAGTGGCTCAAATGGCCAAAACGACGTCGTTTTGAGTACAGAACAACATAAAAATGGCCAAAACGACGTCGTTTTGGTCATTTGAGCCACTTTTGAGTCACAAAATTTGAGCTACGAGACATTTTCCTTATTCTAATCAGACTAAAACATCCAACTATAAAATAGCGTGTTCAATCGGACTGTGACACTTCCATACAAATTTGGGTGTCCATGGCAGAGGAATGATTCTCTACTTGACTTCCTTACTTGACTCCTTATTTGATAGGTCATTGGGTCCACTTTTAGATCCAATTTCGATGATCCGAACCGTTCACATTTTAGAATTTGTCATGTATATCATACCTGAAAAAAATCAAAATGATCGAATATCGGAAGAACTAAAAACCGTTTATTAAAAAATTTAATAAACAGTTTTATTGTTTAATAAAATTTTTAATTCACGTGATTTTTGATATCCGATTGATTTGATTTTTTACAGTTATAATATACATGACAAATTTTAAAATGCGAACGGTTCGAATCATTAAAATTTAACCAAAAAATTAATCCAATAACCCATCAAATAAGAAATTAAATAGAAGAGTCGAGGAGGGATCTTTGCTCGTCCATGGCAATCTCCATATATTCTCAAAATAATCATAGTCTTTACGATTTGACATGCTTGGTGAGAGCAACCGTCCAACATGACTCACTGTAAATCCCACCTATTTCTACCTTCTCTCTATCCTCTATGTTACTATGACTTGTTTTGGTAAGAGCATCTCCAACGGTGTACCAAATGTTTCATCAAATCTAAGTCAAAAATGGGTCATTTTCTTAATTTGATACTTCGCGCTCCAACGGTTCAACATCAAATCTGTTTCATCAAATTTGCGCTGGGCAACCGGTTGGTTGACCGGCCGGTCGACCGGCCGGTCAACCGGTAACGGCAAAAAAAAATTTTTTTTTTTTTTTACCTGTTTGAACCTTTTTTCTTTTTAACTTTTGGTGGTCGACCGGGTGGTCGACCACCTAGGCAAATTTTTTTTTTTTTTTTTTTGTTGACTGGTTTGAACCTTTTTGTGAACGGTCTGAACTTTCTCCGGGGCGACCGGTTGGTTAACCGGTTGGTCAACCGGATGGTCGACCCGTTCGTCTCATCCCAACGGTTAGGAACAGTGATTTGGTGAAATGCTTCGCCTGCACTCAGTTTGGTACCATTTTTGCTGAATTCTGGATTTGATATCGATTTGGTGAAAACGTTGGAGCTTAAAAAAGTGACTTTTTCACCAAATTTTAAATTTGATGCCAGGTTTGGTTCACCGTTGGAGATGGTCTAAGTTAGTAAAAAAGTAATTTTTAATTTTTTTTAATTAAAAAAGTTAATTTTTTTACTCAAATCACTATATAAAATGTTAATTTTTTTATTAATAAAATCAAAAATTAACTTTTTATCAATTTTTTAAAATACCACCATATAAAGCCAACCATGGAATCTGTTGCCTTTATTTATCCAGCTGTGAATCCAGCATTAACTTTATACTGATCACCTGCAACAGAAGTACGCAACTATAAATATGTGAGAACAGTAGTGATATATTTTCTAAATATACAACACTAAAACTCTACACAATTGGTTATAAAGAAAATAAAAAATAAGAAAAAAAATACTTCACGCAAACATCACTACAATAATGGTCCGGTTAATGTAGCTGTTAAAACAGATTATACATTATAACTTAACAGATTATAAATTATGATTTTAATCAGAAACTGTTAATCTATTTGGCATAAATATTGGATTATAGATTTAAGTTGCTGTGTAGTGTTTGTTAAATAAGCTGTGAAGTAGTTTTTTCAATTAATTTTTATTTTTTATTATTCATTATTTGTCTACATTTCTCATAAAAAATAATAATAATATTTTATAATTCATTTGGATCTTTTTTCAATTTTTTAAAAAAATATAAAATAAAAAAATCTAAAAGTATAACCGTGAATTAACATGTCCACAGCAGAAGTTGATAATCAGAAGCAAGGGGTAAGTAGCTTCTCAGAATCAGCTTTTTTGACTTAAAATAAGTTGTTAGAATCAGAATATGTTTGAAATAAGTTTAACCAAACAGTCCAAAATAACTTTTTAAAAGCCAGAAGCCATAAGTTGACTCAAAAAAGCCCCACCAAACACCTCCAATGATAGAAACCTTTAATTTTGGAATTCTAAAAAAAACTCTAATGATGTGGCAAGAGAAAAAAATAAAAAAACAAAAACATAGATACATACATCACATTACATGTGGGCCTTACTTTTTGCCACACCACTAGAACTTTCTTTAAAGTTTTAAAATTAGAACTCTCAATTTTTATTCATATCACTATCACGGTAGGATCCACTCAATTAGAGTTCCTTTAGAGTTTTATTATTAGAGTTTCCAAACATTATTGTATGGACTCATTTGAGAAAGGGGGTTTGGGGTTTTTTGGACTAAAGTAGTCACAAAAAAATAAAATAAGTTTTTTAACTAATAAGACAAAGCATCACATCCAACTCATAATCATTACATTCTTTCTCTCACAACAAAGTCAAAAAAGTTAAAAAACCCTTCCCAAACGAGATTTTTTAGCCCCAAGCTAAAATAGCCAAAAAGCCAACCTCCTTCCCAAAGGAACCCAATGTGAGAACTATACCTAAACAAAAATAATTTGAAACTCTAATTTGTGAGCTCTAATAACTCTAATGTGTATGTAAAACTCATCTAATGTGATATTTGGCCTTATTATTATTATTATTATTATTATTATTATTATTATTATCTTTTTGACTTTCTACCTCACTAGAGCTCAATTAGAGCTCTAGTTTTAGAAGGATGTATCATTGTTGATACCCAAAATCAAGTGATGTCCATATCAATTATCAACTTTTAAAGTTCAAAATTTACAGAGAGAGAGAGAGAGAGAGATATGCCCATATCAATTGTCAACTTATGAAGTTAAAAATTACAGAGAGAGAGAGTTTACAGAACCAAATGCCCCAAACAATGCAGTTATGTATTGAAGTACAAAATAATTTGATCATGAATGTGCGGATGGGTACATATGTTTTGGAAAGGTAAGAATGGATCATGATATGATATACATAATTGAATAGATATTTCAAACACCAGAAATCCTAGCAGTTTGGAAGATTTTGATAGAAGAAGAATATTACACAAAAGTTTCAAATAAATTAAATCAAATTTTATACAAGAGAAAGCAAAGTGCGCCAATCACAGCTATATTCATCACCCCTTGTAGCAGGATCCATGTTAGCTTTGACAGAATGTCAGTCCATCTCACACCAGACACTATATACTCTTCTAGAACCAATCTATGAACAAGTTCTGACGACTCTCGTGTTCCTCATCTACCAGTAATCCCTGCATGAGCAGTGCCCACCTTTAAAATGGTGCAAGCACGCAGAGTCACTCAAATATATTTCACACCTATATATCTTGGAGATAAATTTGGCCATTCTATGGCAGTCTCCACATATTTTAAGGTTTTTCACAATCCGTATACTTTGAGATGCTTGAGGTGAGCCAATAAGGGCAAAAGCAATAGCAAGTTTTTCACTATGGACCCCACAAATCTCTTCCTTCTCTTCTTCCTCAATGCAAAGCCCATCATGAGGATCAGGTCCCCAGATTTGTCCTGCTATGCTTCTAATCCAAGAATATAGAATTCCCGAATTTGGTTTAGACTGATCACCTGCAACAAAATCATGTACCATGTTTTTAACTTCAATCCAGCTCCACCCTGTAGATTCTTTAGTCTCATTCCCCTTACCAGGCATTCTCAAATTTAAAGAATCCTCAGAGATCCCACATAACGCATATGTCTGTAAGACAAACCGCTGAATGGAGGCATTCCCTGGTTTTAATTGAAGTAATCTTTCCCCAGCATAGACTGCCAATCTACTATTCCCATGAAACCTACCAGCAGTTAGTAAGGCAGACCAAACAGAGAAGTCAGGCTCTATGGGCATATTTTCAACAAACTCAATTGCTTCCTCAAGCCTACCTGAACGACCTAATAGATTTACCATAGCCAGACAATGTTCCATACACGGCAAAACATAATAGTCTTCAATCATGCTAGAGAAAACTCGTTTCCCCTCATCAACCATTCCAGCAAGACCCCATGCAGAGATAATAGACACAAAGGTACCTCTGTTTGGTTTGAATCCCGCCTTTTTCATCTGGTCAAATAGGTCAAGTGCAGCACGTGAACAACCATGCAAAACAAAACCAGCAATCAGTGTGTTCCAGGTGATGATATCTTTGGTTGACATTCTGTCAAATATGTTTCTTGAATGTATTATATTCCCAGACTTGGCGTAAGAATCTATTAGAGAGTTTGCAACAGACAAATCAGACTCCAAATTTCTGCGCAACACACAACCATGAATCTCTTTCACCTTCTTCGCAGCCACTAAATTCTCACAAGCAGGTAAGAGGCTCAAAATGGTAACTGAATTTGGTCTAACAAAGAGTGACTGCATCTTTCGAAATATCTCCAATGCCTTATTTTTTTGCCCATTTTGCAAGTATCCGGCGATAAGAGAGTTCCATGATGCAGCATCTCGCTTAATGTTCCCATCTTTCTCCATCCTGTCAAAAAGATCCATGGCTTGATCCTCAGCTCCACTTAGCATATATCCCATGATCATCACATTCCACGTGATTACATTAGGTGCCACATTCGATCCCTGCATGTTCATGAATAGATCATGGGCTTTCCCACAGTATCCAGCTTGGCAGTAGCCTCCAATCATTGAATTCCAAGTGTAGACATCTTTCTCTAAGATCGTATCAAAGACTTCCTGAGCAGCTTCAAGTTTCCCACACTTGGAATACATGTCAATGAGTGAATTTCCAACTAGTACATCTTCAGCATATCCCATCTTAACTGCAACAGAGTGGAATTCCATCCCCTCTCGTAGAGCTTTAAGAGGTGCACATGCTGAGATTGCAGTTGTAAGTGTAATCCCATTTGGTTCGACCCCAGCCAAAAGCATCTCTGTAAAAAGTTCCAGTGCCTGAGTTGTCCTGTTATTTTGAGCCAACCCTGCAATCATTGAAGTCCAAGTGATAACATCAGGAGTGATCCCAAAACTCTTCATTTCCTTTATCACTTCCATTGCGAGCTCACAGTTCCCCAACTGATTATAACTGGTCATCAATATGTTCCAAGTTACCAAACTTGGTTCAATCCCATCTTTGCGCATCAAATAAAAAACTTGACGCGCCTCTTCAATCTCACCCTTCAAACAATACCCACTTATAATTGAATTCCAAGACACCTTATCCTTCCCCTCCATTTTCTCGAAAAACCTCCTCGCCGAAGTCAACCTCCCACATTTGGCATACACTGCCAAAATCGAATTGCTAACACGATTTTCACAGCTCAACCCGGATCGAATCACTATCGAATGTATCAACTTCCCTGTCTCGACATCCCCACAATTCCCACAAGCCTGCAAAATCTTTGGAAATAGAAAATCATCAGGAACGAAACCATCTTCCATCATTGAAAAGAAAAGGCCAATCACTTCCCTCCACCTTCGCTCTCTTGAACACGCACCAATCATGGCCGACCATGTGTACAAATTTCTTTGGCGCATTCCATCAAACACCATACGGGCATCGTCCAAAGACCCACATTTAGCATACATACTAACCAATTTAGTCTCAGTAAATGGGTCAATCTCGCTTAACAAACCAATATGCTTATGCAATTTACGGCCTAGATGGATTGAATTTGCATCAATGCAAGACTGTATCAAACGAGCGAAGGTGTGGGGTCTTACCTTGGACCCGCGTTGGGCAATGGAGTCAAGAGCAGCTATGGCTTCTTCCAGGCGTCCATTTTTGCAGAGGTAGTTCAAATGTGCGTCTGTGACTCTTGAATCGAGTTTTATGGAGACTACTGGGTCATGGGTTTTGTTGAAAGAAATCTTGGGTTTGAGGGGTTTTGATGAAAATTCAAAAGGGGTTTCTCGTTCGAAAGGTGTTGCTGATAGAGGGGTCGAATTGCAAACTATAATCAGACCCTCCATTGTTGTTGATAGTGCAACGTTTGGATTGAACCAGTGTGGAGACGAGGGAGGCAGCTACATCAGGGACAGATCGTCTACAGAGTCGTCTACTCTATCGTATTCGTTTCGGATCTTTGTCAAGTCATTTCTCGCCACGTCAGTTTAAGCAATCAAGCGAGACAAGTATTTGACAAAGCAGTGTTTTGAGAAATTGATAAAAAAGTTAATTTTTTTTTTATTTTTTTAGTGTATTTTGTCTTTTTGTGAGTAAAAAATGTTAGAGATAATGTGATCCAAAATAGATAAAAAGCTAAAAGCTAGATAAAAAGTTACTTCCCAAAAGACTCTAAAGACACTGCTTAGGGTTCGTTTGGGAAGTGGGTTGGCTTTTGACTTTTTGACTTTTTAACTATTTTTTGGAGATAAAAAGTCTAGTTTGGGAAGGATTTTTTGACTTTTTTTAACTTTTTGTGAGAAAAATAATGTAATGATTATGAATTAGATATGATGTTTTGTCTTATTAGACTAAAATAGCATATTTTGTCTTATGTAGCTATTTTAGCACAAACATTCATTCCGAAACAAGGGCTTATTTATTACAAAAATGTTTCATGCCCCCTTTTTTTTCCCACCCCCTTTGACCCCCTCTCTCTTTCATTGGTTACATTTTCTTTTTCTTTTTTTCCTGCTCCTCCAATCACCACCCGCCACGTGTCTGTGGGGGGTTGTGGGGGTGGTGAATGGAGGGAGTCTCTATCATGGCTCTATTTATTATTGTCTTTGGAGTCTTTTGGCAACAAGCTAAAAAAGTCAATTTTTTGACTTTTTAATTTTTTTATAGAAAAAAATCAACTTTTTTATCAAAAAGGAGTCTTTTGGCAACAAGCTAAAAAAGTCAATTTTTTGACTTTTTAATTTTTTTATAGAAAAAAATCAACTTTTTTATCAAAAAAGTCAAAAAATTAATTTTTTACCAACTTTCCAAACCACCACTCATATTTATTACTCAAATCTTCATATTTTGGTATGTAATTTTTTTTTAAAAAAAAAAAAGATTTAAGCTCTCCATCATATATAACAAATTTATTATTTTATTATTCTTTACATTGCGAATTTTAAACCTGTTTTTTTATTAATTAAAATAAATTTCTTTTTAAAAGTGGTTTGATCCAATTTAAATAGTATTTTATTAGTAATTGACCCATATAATGCACATATTAATTTTTTTTTTCTTTTTGAATAATATTTTATAAAATTAAATTAAATTAGTTTATATGTCTATATATAAATTACTTTTAAAAATATGTTGTAACCTATGCATTACAAAAGAATAATATTAATTTTACCATGATATAAAATATAGCTTAAATAAATATATAATAATTTTAATTGAATTATTTATGTATATATCTATGTATACATATATGTAAAACTATTTAAAAAATATATTGCGAAATATGCGATGCAATTTTCGTTCTATTAGACTATGAAAGTGTAGTTTAAAAATATATATATATATATATATATGATACTTTTATACTTAATTTCAATATAACAAAATAAATATTCATTTTAATTTTAAAAATAATGATTAAATTGGAGAGAAAAAAAGTCATTTAAAACTAAAAAATGATTCTACTTATTCATTTTGATAATTTTAACCTTATCTTTCTATAAAAATGTTATTTAAACAAATATATATAATAATTTTATTTCAATTATTTATCTGTATTTTAATAATCTTAGCCCTATCATGCTATAAAAGTATAACTGAAATAAATATATAATAATTTTATATGATATTAAATTATAACATAGTAAAATAAACATTCAATTTGACATTAATAATAACAATTAAATTGGACAGAAAATAGTGACATACAATTAAAGTTGATTCTATTTATTTTTTTATTCAGTTGGAAATAAATAAATAAATAAAAAGTAGAAATGGAAATTAAAAAAGAAATTATTTTAAAAAATTAAATATAAATATGTTGTGGTTAGATTAAGAAAAAAAATAGATAGATTAATTATGTTGAGTATTGATTTTTCTTCAATATATATTTTAAAATCAATTCCAGTTGGTAGCTCAAAACTGGTATGGCTCGAATGGCCCGACACCAAAACGTTTTTTTATTTTTTTCAGATCCAGAACAACTAAAATATATATATATATATAGAGAGAGAGAGAGAGAAAACAGATGGGAGCTAGGTTTCATCAACATCAACAACATCTTCATCAACATCATCACCATCATCATCATCATCATCAACAATTTTTTTATTTTTTTCAGATCCAGAACAACTAAAATATATATATATATATAGAGAGAGAGAGAGAGAAAACAGATGGGAGCTAGGTTTCATCAACATCAACAACATCTTCATCAACATCATCACCATCATCATCATCATCATCAACAATTTTTTTATTTTTTTCAGATCCAGAACAACTAAAATATATATATATATAGAGAGAGAGAGAGAGAAAGCATGTCAACATCATCATCTTCTTCAGATCATCATCTAGGAAAAAAAAAGAATCGGAGATCGGAGAAGAATCGAAGATCAATCGACCCTCTCTCGGCGGAGGCAGCGCCGGCAATGGCGATCGATCGACTCGCGGAGGCAGTGCCAGCGACGGCGACCCTCGACGGAGGTAGCGCCAGCGACAGCGATTGATCGATTGACGCTCTCTCTCTTTTTCTTCCTCTTCCTCTTCCTCTTCCTCTTCTTCTCTCATCTCTCATCTCTCTCTGCTCTGCTTCAGACATAAAAAGAGGAAAAAAATAAAAAAAGCCCAAAACGACGTTGTTTTGGACTATGGAGCCATTCGGGCCACAGTGATTTCAAGCTACAAAGGATTATTGTTTTAAAATTGTTTATACATTGGGTGAATAAAACTATTTATACATATTAATTATATATATGTATATATAGTTTAAATTAAATATAATATTTTCCTAATAAACAACTTCATACTAAATAGGAAACTCAATATAAATTAATAACAAAATATAAATAAGATAGATAAAAAGATAAGAAATATGTTTAATTTTAATATAAAAATTGAATACTTGAATAAAAGTGAAAAAATAGACAAAAATTAACTCGTAAATTATTTTTTAGTACATATAATTATTTTAAATTTTATTTATGGATAGTTTAGATTAAGTAGAAGTCTTTTAAATATTAAATTTTAAAAATAATTAAGTATAAGGTATGTTACGTAGCACTTTAAAAAAATCATTTTAAAAAAAACAAAAGGGATAAATTATATAAGAGAGAGTGAGAGAGAGAGAGAGAGAGAGAGAGAGATTTTTTTCAAATATCATAATAATTAAATTATAATTATATATAAAAAATAAGTATTTCTCAAATAGAGTTCATATAAAATTGGTTGTTATAATAGAAATTGAATTTATATGAAACTTTATATGTAAATGGAAAAGGATGTCGATGTCGATTTTTTTTTTAAAAAAAGTTAATCTTTAGATTGTGTAACCTAAGTACAAGAAAAATAGTATTTTTAATATATATATATATATGATATTATTTCTTAAATAAAATTTAAAATTTTGTTTAAAAAAATACTGCCTAAGTCTAAATTTATAGATGATAATTATTTTTATTTTTTAAATATTTTTGCCTCATAGATTTTGGGAAAAATTAGTGAAACATCTCTCTTCAACTTTGTGAAGTAGGAGAAATTTAAGATGTTTTTTTATTAGTTAAGGTCTCTCAGTATTTTCACAGAGAAAATTCAACTTAGAGAAATTTTGCCCAACTTAGAAAAATTTCTCGCTGAAAATTGAAATTTCTCTGAGTCAGGTAAAATTTCTCTAAATCGAATTTTCTCTGTAAAAATGTTGAGGAATCTTAACTATTATGAAAATATTATATGTCTTTTACTTTATAAATTCTTAATATTAGGGATCTTAAAATATTCTCCTTGATTTTGTAGCAATTGGACTATAATTTCAATAAAATAATAAATAAATAAAAAGAACGAAAAAAGGCATGGCAGGAAAGGGCATGTCAATTTTGACATACCAATCTTGTTACCAAATACATGTCACCATTTGAAGTAACGAAGCATAGGTTTTTCTAAATGTCAATTTTTACATTTGACAGTCACCTCAAATTTAAAATAAACGAGTAGAGTTGCTCTTAAATTATGTAAAAATTCAAGATATGAAACCTTAAAATATAATTTAAAAATCTATATCATATCTCAAATTAATCTAAGTTATCCCTTCTTATGGAATCACTACAAGAATTTACACATTTGGCGACCACTTTTGCCGACCAAAAAAATTTTGGTCGCGAAAAAATGACATTTGGCGACCAAATATTAATTAGTCGCGAATAATCATTATTTTTTGCGACCAAATATTATTGGTCGCAGAAGGTTATATTTTGGCGACCAAAAAATGTGTTGGTCGCAGAAAGTGGTATACTTTTGCCGACCAACTACAAATTTGGTCGCAGAAGGTCACATATTTTTTGGCTGAAGGCTCGTCCTCCCCATTGCAATAACTCTCCCATTCTGCATTAAAACACACCCCAGACCCTTATGAGAAGCATCACTAAATACAGCATTAAAACACACCCCAGACCCTTTTGATGCAGAGAACAAACCCAAATCTGATAATACATTCACATCCCTAATCTGATTTTGATGCAGAGAACAAACCCAAATCTGATAATACATTCACATCCCTAATCTGATTTTGATGCAGAGAACAAACCCAAATCTGATAATACATTCACATCCCTAATCTGATTTTGATGCAGAGAACAAACCCAAATCTGATAATACATTCACATCCCTAATCTGATTTTGATGCAGAGAACAAACCCAAATCTGATAATACATTCACATCCCTAATCTGATTTTGATGCAGAGAACAAACCCAAATCTGATAATACATTCACATCCCTAATCTGATTTTGATGCAGAGATCTCTCTCTCTCTCTCTCTCTCTCTCTCTCTCTCTCTCTCTCTGTTTTTTTTTAATGGGAAAGTTGAATTTTCCAAAAAAATTTTTGTTTAATCACTGAAAATTCTATGTGTTTGGGAAAGTCTAATTCTTTTTGCTCTACAAAATGAGATTTTGCTGTTTATTTTCTGTTCAGTGTGTTTGGATTTGGAGAAAACTAAGTCACATGATCGCTCATCCCTCTCTCTCGTCCCTCTCTCTCATCCCTGTAAAGAAACCGGAGCTGCGATTGAACCCTTGAAAACTTTCTTTCGCTCATCCCTCTGTCTCATCCCTGTAAAGAAATCGGAGCTGTGATTGAACTCTTCAAAACTTTCTCTTGCTTATCCCTCTCGTCTCTGTGTTAGGTGGAGAAGTTGGAGCCGATTAAACTCTTCAAAACCCTCTCACTCATCCCACTCGTCTTTGTGTTGTGTAGACAAGCTAGAGTTGACTCCTCTCATACGCTAAAAACGGCGGCCAGAAACTCCTTTAACGACGGCGGAAACTCCTCAGGTAAAACCAAGATTGCAAAACTAGGGTATGCATTTTGCCTTTAATTGCTATTAGGGTTACGATTTTGCTATCAATTTTCTATTACGAGTTGTATTTTGCCTTGAAGATTCTATTGCGATTGATTTGAAATTTTTTGGGGGGCTTATGAATTAAATTAAGGATTGTGTGTTTGATTTGAGATTTTGATTCTATTAATGAACATTCTATGAATTTAGGATTGTTGTTTTTTTTTAGTCAAAGTTAGGATTGTGATTCTATGAAATTAAACAATGACTGATATATTGGTTAGATCTTTCAATGCATATGGTGTTGATTTTTGTTCAAGATTACTAAACTATTTGAACATTCTTTTTGGAACTAAGATCACTTAAGTTGGAACTAAGATCATTGATTAATAAAGTGAAAATAAAACTGTAAATTTCGAAATTCCCAAACTCTGTCAATGTCTTAATGAAGAAAGAAAATAGTTGCTGATATTAGGACTTTGAATGCAGTTTGTTGCGAAAATGTTGTTCTCGCTTCATTCATATGAATAACGATTTTTAAGGATAGCCAACCTTTCAGGCTCTCAGCTTATAGCGATTTAGCACAGTCGCAGTTAATTATTTGGAATTTCACTTAATCGATGAACTCTTGTACACCGCAAGATGGTTATTTTCTAGATTTCTTCTTCTGACTTGTGCATTGAGGATCGGAATGTGGCCTTAGCTTAGTGAGCATTGCAGTGAAATGTCATGGCTAAATTAACCTTCTATCATTCACAAAAAAAAAAATATATATATATATATATATACCACAAAAGTTATGCTCACATAGTTATTCATTCTTGCTTTTGGTGACTGATTTAGTTTTACTGTTTCAGCCTAACAATCTACAGTTTGTATCAAATTGCAGCATACAAAAGGTGAATGGGGCTCTGGTTTTATTCCCATTGCCGAGTATGGAACTGAGTTTCATAAGGGTTCAAGAAAAGGAAAATCAGGGAAAGTTGTGAGGCTTGTGTATAGTGGCCTTGCGCTTGAATCATATTTGTTAAAAATTCTTATATGGTGCAGGCTAGAAATAATGCACGGATTATGATCGCTGGCTTTTTAGATATGTTCAGTAATGGGTTTGTATCGTTGTGCACTTAATCTGAACTTTGGAAGTTTCTCAGGATATTTGACCTCATTATTTAATGTTTGTCCTTTATGTGATTCAGATTGTTCAAATCAGGTGTGCAGAAGGCTGGAAGCTCAAATAAGTGAGTAATCCTCTGGTCAATCTTCATTCAGTACTTCTACATGCCGGCTTCTCTGTAGATATGATGAAAAGTCACCACACCCTACCTTCTCAAGAGGTACCTGCAGTCAATTATAAAATTTGTGAGGTGGTAATTTTCTGTGTTAGACCCAGAAATGAGTTGTTTTAAGAGCACTGCATCAGTTTCCGCTTCCAAATTCATTGTTGTCAAGGGCTAGCTTGAACCCATCCCTCATGGCCCAAAACTCAGCCATGATGCTTGAGCAAATACCAATGTTTCTAGTAAAACCACAAATCCATCGGCCCATATGATCTTGAATTAAACAACCAGCAAAGGCCTGTCCTGGATTCCCTTTAGATGCTCCATCCGTGTTGAGCTTGAAGGAGCCCAAACTAGGGGTTGTCCAGCTAACAGTAATGGGAGGAGTTTGGGTTTTGTTGGAATAGAGGTTGGCTATGAACTGCCATTCAACAGTCTGAGCTACCGCCCTAGGAGTGAGTAAAGGAGGGTGGTTTGGGTCAAAAGTGCAAGTGCTTCTGTTCTTCCATATATACCAACAAGAGATGGGGAAAAGGATAGACCAGGGTACTGTTGAAAGATTATGACAGTGGGATGAACAATTGGAATTAACCCAGCTGATACATTGACAATTTCCAAGAAATATTATGCATTTCTCCTTGTATCTCAGTGTATACATGTATGTACTTATGGATTTATGCTTTTTTAAAAGAGTTCTATGATCCTTCATAATTGTGGAGGGTTTCACATGAAAGACCCCCAAACTTATTCATCAATGGTTTAGGAAATTTCTACAGAAAACTGGGTATTGTTAAGGAAGAAGGATGATTTTATTTTTTCAAAATATAAGTCCGAGGGGAATTATTTCTTTGTTTTGGATTAATGGGATGAGATATCTATATATATATATTTTCGACTGTTATCTTTGTATCTGATTACGACTGTATATTTTATCAACTTTGGCCAAGTTAAGACTTAAAGCTTTAAGGGATAAAAATGCTACCAGAAAAGGACGTTCTCATAAGATTTTTCAAACTTCCACATGATTATGATGTATTGCGCCCTCTGTTGGTGTGTAGTATTAACTTGTATTCTTGATCTTCAGGCTGTTAATGTCAGACATCACAAAGTTGGGGAAATAGATGAGCCTGCAATTTATAGGATTAATGATGACCTGGTAATGCCACCTCATATTCATTATGTCAAGATTTGGTTGCTGTGAGATTAAATTACAAATAATGGAACTTTTGTTGCCACATTCTTACAAATGTGAATATTTTGCAGGAATACTCTATTGAGATTTTTGAGTGGTCTGGAACAAATTGGGAACCATACGTGTCTAATGATGTTCAAGTGCAGTTCTACATGATGAGCCCTTATGTGTTGAAAACCTTATCAACCAATCAGAAGGTAGTTACCAAGGCCACCACTGCATGTTATCTTAAAATCTTATGTTTTATTAACATCTCATTTCATATACACATAAATATTCCTGATATTGCAGGGGCTGTACATCCTGATAATCTTAAAAGAGATGATTAAGATTATCAACCAATCATAAATATTCCTGATTCATGGAGGTTTGTTCACTTCTGTAGAGTTGATTAATTGCTTTAGAGTTTAGGGCACCAAACCAAACAACTTGTTTGTTAAGAAGAACATAAATACATGTTTACATTAGATTTGGCTGTTGAGAGACTACAGTAATTGATATACAAAAGGTTGCTGTGACAACTTCTGGTCTCAGCTGGCCAAAAGGTTGCTGTGACAACTTATTCTGTCACAGAATATTCTGTCTCAGCAACCTTACTATATACATGCTCCAACTTATTCTGTCTCAGCTGGTGCAGAAGAAGTTGACATACATAATTAAGGTTGCTGAGACAGAATATATTTAGTTGTACAATATATGAAGCTGTCACAGAATATATTCTGTATATCAACTTATTCTGTCACAGAATATTCTGTGTCAGCAACCTTACTATATACATGCTCCAACTTATTCTGTCTCAGCTGGCCAAAAGGTTGCTGTGACAACTTCTGGTCCCATAGGTCCAGGTCAGTACCTTTAATGTTCGATGTGATTTATGTAAATATAAATACTAACTCTCGTCAAGTCATCCTTTTCCCTTTTGTTATCTGTTTCTCATCCTTTGAGCTAAAATGGTCATGACCAAGCCATCTAATTTTAGTTTTTTTTATGTTTGGTGCTCATCCCTAATTTGATGTGTACAGAAAGTTGAATATTGATCTGACTTTAAGTTGTTTCCAACAGCTGCGGGATTGGCCAGTTATGTGGAGACGCTTTTACGGAAACCCAACACTGAATTTAATGTATGTTACTTTATTTCTTTGTCATATTTCCACTTCTAACAAATTATTTCTATCACGTGCCAAAATTTTACACCATGTATTTATAAGTTTATATTTTCATGTGGACTGCTTGCTTTTCAGTCTTATTCTCTCTGGTTAGTAGAGGTATTTGTTCTCATGTCACCAAGTCAGCACTGTTGGATCATATTTTTATACTCCTTCAGATTTTTTATTCTTGATGATTTTAATTACACTCCATCAATAGGGTCTCTGGTAATTTTTTGGTACTGATTGTCACGAGATTAGGGAGTAATGGTTTTGATGACATAGTTGTTCTGGAAAAGGACCAACTCTGGATTTTTTCTTTCTTTCGTTTATTTGTCTTCTTTTGGGCAGTAGCTAAAATGCCTACATGGATACTTCAAAAATGTGTACAAGAAATACTTTTTTTTTCTAACCCCTACTGCCAAACACGTTAGAAATATAGGCAAACAAATTCAATATGTGATAGATTCATTAAGGGTGACCTAAATGAATGTCACTCAGAATGAATTTAGATCAAACAATTATATATATATATATATTTTGTGAGTTGGAGGTCATAGTCCAGGAAGGAGAAATCTTCCTTGACTCTTAACAACAATCACGCATACCGAGGCATGATGGCCGAGGAGTCGAAATGCACAACTCAATATAGGATGAATGCACATGAAACTACAGCTAAAACCTAACTCCATCATGGATAATCTGGAGTATCGGTGACTGGGGAATTGAGACACATTCCGTCACTCGGAGTACGAAATGCACCTCGTTTCCCGTGCCCGGGCTAACTCTTATTCCGAACACGATGCAATATGCATGATATGCATGAAATGCAACTAAGATACAATCCTAACATACACAATGCTACGGGATGACATGCCTCGAAATGTGTGCACGCAAGCACGCAAACCGAGAAAATGGCAGAATGTGATCTAAGATACAACCTAGTATGCACTATGCTATGAAAAAGAGATGCCTCGAAATGCGTGCACACGGGCACGCAAACCGAGAAAATGACAGAATGCGATCTAAGATACAACCTAGTATGCATTATGTTGTAAAAAAGAGATGCCTCGAAATGCGTGCACACGGGCACGCAAACCGAGGAAATGACAGAATGCGATGCAAATGACATGAAAATGTGATATGGACTTATACCAACATGAGAGAGCTTCAGCTACACTCACATAAGAGGCCGATGGATGAAAATGAAGTTCCTCGAAATGCGTGCACACGGGCACGCAAACCGAGAAAATGACAGAATGCAATC